GCCAGGTGTTGTTTATCTGTATCTTGATAGTCAGTTTCTTGGAGCCTTGCTACACACACACACACACACACACACACACACATATATATATATAGATTCCCATTGATCATTTCAGCAATAGGAAAAAAAGATTTCGTTCCTCTTATTACTGTAATTCTGTAACACAATCCTTTAGGGGGCTGAACATTACAGTTTTTCTTGGTATCTTGAATGCGGTCTGTTGATTAAGGACACAAGTTATTTACAGCCGTATCTAGCCTGATCTCGTCAGATCTCGGAAGCTAAGCAGGGTCGGCCCTGGTTCGTACTTGGATGGGAGACCACGGAAGGAAGTCCAGGGTCACTCCGCAGAGGCAGGCAACGGCACACCACCGCAGCTCGTCTCTTGTCTCGAAAGCCCCACGGAGTCACCATAAGTCAACTATGACTTGCTGACCAAAAAAAAAAAGGGTAGACAGTGATGAAATAGCTTTCCTACCACAGCAGGCCAGAAGCCATAAAAGCAAGAGGTAATAATAAATCAATTCAACTCCATAGATCAAGCCCTCGCAATGCCCTTGATTTAAGAAGGGAACCAGGGACACTGAAAAGGCTGGTTGCTATGGTGCTTAAAAAGGTAAAGGTTCCCTTGCTCGAAAGCCAGTCGAATCCGACTCTAGGGTTGCGGTGCTCATCTCCGTTTCAAAGCCGAAGAGCCAGCGCTGTCCGAAGACGTTTCCGTGGTCATGTGGCCAGCATGATTAAACACCAAGGTGCACAGAACGCTGTTAGCTTCCCACCAAAGCGGTACCTATTTATCTACTTGCAATGTCTTGCTTTCAAACCGCTAGGCTGGCAGGAGCTGGAACTAGAGACGGCAACTCGGGTCTTGAACTGCTGAACTACCGACCTTCCACAGCCTGCAGTTCAGCGTCTTAACCACTTGAGTCACTGCAGCTATGGTGCTTAACGCATGTTAAAATCATGTCCTGAATTTAAAGTCATGGATTTTTTAAATCTGGACGATCTCAAATCATGGTCTGAATTTAAAAACGTGACCTGAGAAATCTGCTGTGTTCCCCTCTTTTTTAAAAACTTTTTTGTAACATCTGGCCTGCTGAAGAGTTCTGTTAGACTCCGATGCTCGTACGCTGGGAACCGGCTGCTGCGTGGGTCCTGATAAAAAGGTATTCATGGGATTGTGTTCTCGTCTTTCAGGGTTCCAGTTAAGGGCCAGCGGCATGTTCTCTGTTCTGATTTATTTCACAGGAAGATTTATATTCCATCTTTCCGGTCTCGCCCAAAGGCGTCTTACGAAACACCGCGCCAGGGCCAGGAGACGCAATTAAAACAGGACGTGGAAGCGACTAGCCCACATTCCCAGAATTCCAAAAAACAAAAACCCAACAACTTAGGACTGTTGGTCTGCCCAAAATTTTTTGAACAAAAGAAGCATAATTTATTTCATAGCTTAAGAGAGCCAGTGTGGCATACTTGATAGAGTGTCAAACTAGGATCTGGGAGATCCAGTTTCGAATCCCCCACTCTGCCTTGGAAGAGTCATAGAATCATAGAGTTGGAAGGTACCTCCAGGGTCATCTAGTCCAACCCCCTGCACAAGGCAGGGAATTCACAACGTCCACCCCCACTGACCCCTGCTTCACGCCCAGAAGATGGCAAAAAAATCCCCAGGATCCCTGGCCAAACTGACCTGGAGAAGAAAGGCTTCCTGAACCGAAAGTGGTGATCGGCATTTCCCTGGGCGTGTAAGGAAGGGCCATGAGAACTAAGCACTGAGGCGACCCTTCCTGCCCTCCCTCTCATGATCTGCCCAAATTCACAGAATCAGCATGGCTGTCAGATGGCCATCGAGCCCCTGCTTGAAAACCTCCAAAGGAGGAGAGCCCACCACCTCCCGAGGAAGCCTGTCCCACCGAGGAACCCAACTGTCAGGAAGTTCTTCGTAATGTTTAACCAAAAACTCTTCTGATTTAATTTCAAGCCGTTGGTTCTGGTCCGACCTTCTGGGGTCTCCCAGATCAAGATCGATATAGGCAGGAACTGGCAACTAGGCCTGAGCTTGGGAGCAAAGTAGAATCCATGTTGTGTCTGCGGAGCATCTCAGCCAGGCTACGTTGTTTACCAACAGAAGCTTCTGGGTTGGGTTCAAGGGCAGCCCCGTGTAGCAGATGTTACAGTAGTCTAGTTTTGGATGCTCTCAAAGATGAGGAGTGTGGAAGTTCAGTTTGGAAGAGAAGAACAGAATAACTTGGGGGGGGGGAGCAGATGAGGCCAGGAAAAGGGAGGGCAGGGGTCCTGGCTTAGGGGGCTTGGAGGGCAAGGGGGTACTAAAGGACGGGACCCCCAAGGGAGGAGGAGCTAAAGGGAATGACACACCACAGGCCAGGGTTCCCCAACGTGGCACTCACGGGCGCCATGGTAGACCACAGGAAGCTGCCTTATACCGAATCGGACTATTGGTCCTTCAAGGTCAGTTTTGTTTACTCAGACTGGCAGCCGCTCTTCAGGGTCTCAGGCAGAGAAAGGTCTTTCACATTACCTATGACCTTGTAGGGAATATGCCGGGGATTGAACCTGGGACCTTCCTTATGCCAAGCAGGTGCTCTGCCACTGAGCCATGGCCCCGCCTCCCTCCCCCCCCCCGCCTCCCCTGCACCGGCTGAGCTTTCCAAAAACCGGATGGTGGGTAGGGTTGCCAGGCAACTGGGATGGGGTGGGGACTTCCCAACAGCACAGAGAGACTTCTACCGGAGTCGTTGCCATTGTCACTTCGGGCACACACTGAAAGGGACTTCATTGCATCACCGGTGACACAGGCAAAGGACAAAAGAAGAAGAAGAGAAGATGGATTTATACCCCGCCCTTCACTACCCAAAGGAGTCTCAGAGCGGCTTACAAACTCCTTTCCCTTCCCCTCCCCACAACAGGCACCCTGTGAGGGAGGTGGGGTTGAGAGAGCTCTTGACAGAAAGCGCTCTTTTTCAAGGACAGCTCTGACAGAACTACGGCTTGCCCAAGGTCATCCAGCAGCTGCAAGTGGAGGCGTGGAGGAATCAAACCCGGTTCTCCCAGATTAGAGTCCGCGCACTTAACCACGACACCAAACTAGTGGTAGAAGTCATTTTAACCATAGAGTTTTTTGCCCTGGTACCAGACGTCACTTCCAGTGCACACCCTGCATTGCCAGCAACATCAGCCTAGGTTTCCTTTTGCTGCCAGTAAGACCCCCCCCCCCCAACCATCCATCTGATTGGTGCCGGTGAGGGGCCTCGTAGCAAGGGTCCCCCCCCCACTCCAAGCAGAGCCCTGGCAACCCCAGTGGGGGGGGCCTTTGTGGGGTGGGGCTTGTTATTAGCTGCCCTTGTTCAAACGAAAGGGATTTCTGCTGCAATAACAGCTGCAGCCTCTATAAGATCAGGAGGACTGGGAAGCACGCGTGCTTTCCTTACTCAGGGTGTGGTTCTATTCTCCCTTCTTTCCGTTCCACCGTCTTTTTCTCCCTCCCTTCCCTCAGGCTTTCCTTCTTTTCTTTTTATTCCCCTTGTGTGTGGTGTTGTGTTTTTTTGCGAAGCAGTATCACATTTGGCTCCGCCTTCTGTGGCAGCCATTTTGAGGTGGCGCTTGTTGCCCGCTGGTGTAGTGGTCAAAGACTCTAATCTGGGAGCACCAGGTTTGATTCCCCACTCCTCCACTTGCACCTGCTGGATGACCTTTTGCAAGCCATAGTTCTGACAAGAGCTCTTCTTGAAAAAGAGCAGTTTCTGTCTCAGCCCCACCTCCCTCACAGGGTGTCTGTTGTGGGGAGGGGAAGGGAAAGGAGATTGTAAGCCACTCTGAGACTCCTTCGGGTAGTGAAGGGCGGGGTATAAATCCAATCTCTTCTCTTCTTCTTCTTCAAAATCCCAGAGGTGCCCACAGACTCAAGAAGCTTGGGGAGCTGTGCGGTAAGCAAGGTGCCGGGAAGAAGGGGGCCAGAGATTAAAGGAAGAAAAGGTTATGTCGGAGGGGTGCAGAGACATTCCTTGTCCCCACTGGTGGACCTCCTGATGGCACCTGGTATTTCTGGCCACTGTGTGACACAGAGTGTTGGACTGGATGGGCCTTTGGCCTGATCCAACATTGGCGTCTCTTATGTTCTTATGTTCTTGGTTTCCAGAAATTAGGGAGGGTGTACATACGTGATTCTGAAGGAGTGAGTAAGTGAGAGATCTTAGTAAGTTGAGAATCTGTGGGTCAGGAAAACCAAAGAAATGGTAGAGCCAGTTTGTTGTAGTGGTTAAGAATGGCAGATTCTAGTCTGGAGTATCGGGTTTGATTCCCCACTTCTCCACATGCAGCCAGCTTGGTGACCTTTGGTCAGTCACAAGTTCTCTCAGAGCTCCCTTGGCCCCGTCTACCTCACAGGGTGTCCGTCGTTGGGCAGGGAAAGGAAGGTGATTGTAAGCCACTCTGGTAGTGAAGGTTGGGCTATAAAAACCAACAGGGGCCCCCCTTTTTGAGCCTGTGGGCCCCTTCGGAATTCTGACACACAGCGGTGGGTGCAACTACAAAATGGTCGCCGAGGGAAGCGGGGCCGGCCACAAAATGGCTGCTGCGGGAGGCAGCGCCAACCACACACAGGAAGTCCAAGTGCACGAGAGAAAGGGGAAATGGAAAAAATACACAGGGAAACAGGAGTGAGGGAGAGTAAAACCAACCCTCTGGTGGCCGTTGCAGCTGAATCAATGTTAATTTAATCTGCCCAGCCAATTGGGAGCCCTGTTGGGCAAGAGGCCCACCTGACCCAACTCATGGGCGCCAGGAAAGGTATTAATGCCCCATGGTGCCCATGGACACCATGTCGGGGCCTCTGGTAAAAACTGGTGGGTCCAGATGTTCTCTACCCCTTTAAATTCTTTCGCTTATTAGGCTTCTCTTTACACAAGAAAGGCCCAGGCCTATCCCAGCACGTCCAACCCTCTTGGGTAACACCGTCTCCTCCTTTCTTGTTCTTCTCACAGGCCGCCTCCTCCTCCTCCTCCCCCCACGTCAGCCGGTCTCCCAGCCCACGTCCAAGAAGTCTAAGCCGGCCTCCACAGCCCTGAGGACGTGAAACCGTCTGGGCTTGCCTGCCCCGCGAGCCAAGACGGGCCGTGGAAGACTCCGACGCTAGCTCGTGCTTGGTGCTTGCTCTCCAGGCTTCGGCGGTGGGCTCAGCGGAGGCCTGTCAGCATCCTCGGCGAGGACTGAGGCTGCCTGTTCCGCAACGCTGAGGGAGTCGCGTCGTGGACTCTGCCCGAGCACCACCACTTGGCCGAGAGCCTCCACCCTGCTGTGGTTTCAGAATCTGGGAGCGAGGAACTGTGGGGAAGAGGGGGGGGGAAGTCTTTGCACTGGGAACACAGGGGGGCACGATCCCTCAATAAAGCTGCGAATGTGTGTGAGAGAGAGAGTGAGTGAATGTCTGCAGTGGTGTGTGCCTTTACTGGGATCTGAGTGCGAGTTCGAGGGCCGGCGTTCCCTAACGGAGCCCTGCCCGCTTCAGTCCTAAACAGGAATTTGCCTGAACTTTAAAGTACAGGGCAGCTTTCTTCTTAATAATCTGCAGCCATTTCAATAAAAAGCAGACTGGATTACTCTTATCTTTTTAGCTTTTCTTTTTCCGCTTTAACACCTCTTTATTCTGGTACCATTTCTCCGGGTGAGGACCGATAGCCAGGAAAACCTGGATGAGGTTGCTAGCTTGCGACCCAAAGAATTCTGGTGCAGAACGGTGCAAGACCCCCTGCCACCCCCAAGTTTTCTGTGTTGCCCTTGGGGAAGAGAGGTCTCCCACTTGGTGCTGGGAGTTTGGGCCAGTGTTCTCCAGGAAGAGGTTCAGGGTTGCTGCTGATCACATATGCCGGGTGCAAAATCCCTGTCCTGTATGTTCGAGCTCTTTGAAGCGACTTGAACACAAGAGCCCTGCTGGGTCAGACCAGTGAGGGTTCATCTAGTCCAGCATCCTGCCTCACACAGTGGCCTCAACCAGTTCCTCTGGAGGGCCAACAACAGGGCAGAGAGGCCGAGGCCTTCCCCTCATAAGAACATCAGAAGAGCCCTGCTGGGTCAGACCAGTGAGGGTCCCTCTAGTCCAGCATCCTGTCTCACACAGTGGCCTCAACCAGTTCCTCTGGAGGGCCAACAACAGGGCTGGGAGGCCGAGGCCTTCCCCTCATAAGAACATCAGAAGAGCCCTGCTGGATCAGACCAGTGAGGGTCCATCTAGTCTGTTTACCTTGTTTGTGGTCAAAACCCAGGGCTTTTTTGTAGCAGGAACTCCTTTGCATGTTAGGCCACACACCCCTAATGTAGCAAATCCTAATGAGTTCCTACTGTTGGGTTTGGCCTATTATGCTAATGAGTTCCTGCTGGGCGTGGCCAACTTGGGAGTCAGCTGGAACTCCATTCCTGTGTGTTCCTGCCCAAAAATAGCCCTGATGGTTGCTAGCCATTGATAGACCTATCCTACTGACCTCATAAAAACATCAGAAGAGCCCTGCTGGACCAGACCAGTGAGGGTCCATCTAATCCAGCATCCTGCCTCACACAGTGGCCTCAACCGGTTCCTCTGGAGGGCCAACAAGAGCGTGTAGAAGCCGAGACCTTCCCCTCATAAGAAAATCAGAAGAGTCCTGCTGGATCAGACCAGTGAGAGTCCATCTAGTCCAGCATCCTGCCTCACACAGTGGCCTCAACCGGTTCCTCTGGAGGGCCAACAAGAGCGTGTAGAAGCCGAGACCTTCCCCTCATAAGAAAATCAGAAGAGTCCTGCTGGATCAGACCAGTGAGAGTCCATCTAGTCCAGCATCCTGCCTCACACAGTGGCCTCAACCAGTTCCTCTGGAGGGCCAATGAACAGGGCAGAGAGGCCGAGGCCTTCCCCTCACAAGAACATCAGAAGAGCCCTGCTGGGTCAGACCAGTGAGGGTCCCTCTAGTCCAGCATCCCGCCTCACACAGTGGCCTCAGCCAGTTCCTCTGGAAGGGCCAACAAACGGAGCATAGCTTTGTGTTCGCACAAGAACTGATAACTTGGGTTACCAACTTCAGGTTGGGAAATTCCTGGAGATTTGTTAGGGGACCCCAAGAGAGCCAGGGTTTGGGGATGGCAGTGACCTCTGCAGGGTATAACATGATAAGCGTCCACCCTCCCAAGCAGCCATTTTCTCCAGGGGAAACGATCTCTGTCTCTTCTAATTCCAGGAGATCTCCGGCCTCCCTCTCCTGCACACACCCTCTTCCTGCCTCGGGGCCCGGTGTCACAGAGCCGAATTGGAAAGAGATGAATAAGTTGTCAGGGAGCTCCAGCTTCCCTCTCCTAGTACCCGCTTGACTGCAGGGGATCACATGAAAGAGCTTCCGTGGGATTCCACCCCAGCGCCATGCAACCGGTTGGGTAATGTCCCAAAAAGGGTGTGACTGATACACCCTGGAATTCCATTGGGAACACCAGCAGGGTGTTGTCCCAATGGAAGAATCCCCACATAATTTCTACAGGAGGTAGTGATGTGATGTTGGTCATCTGCGGCAGGAACAATAAGACTGAAGTCTGTCCCTTCTCACGGGCATCAACACAAGCGGAGCTGCCTTATACTGAATCAGAGCCTTGGTCCATCTACTCAGACGGGCAATGGCTCTCCAGGGTCTCAGGCTGAGGGTCTTTCACATCGCCTCCTACCTGATCACTTTTAACTGGAGATGCCGGGGATTGAACCTGGGACCTTCTGCGTGCCCAGCAGATGCTCTGCCACTGAGCCACGGCCCCTCCCCTTAGTGGCTCTCCAGGGTCTCAGGCTGAGGGTCTTTCACATCACCTACAACCTGATCCCTTTTAACTGGAGATGCCGGGGATTGAACCTGGGACCTTCTGCGTGCCAACCACTGAGCCATGGCCCCTCTCTTCTGAACACATGTAACTGCCTTATAGTGAATTAGACCTTTGGTCCATCACGCTCAGTATTGTCTGGTCCATCGAGCTCAGTAGCTGCTCTCCAGGGTCTCAGGCGGAGGTCTTTCACATCACGTACTGCCTGGTCCTTTTAACTGGAGATGCCAGGGATTGAACCTGCGACCTTCTGCATGCCCAGCAGATGCTCTACCACTGAGCCACAGCCTCTCCCCTTGAAGGATGAAGGATGTTTCCCTCATGATGTTCTGTTGGGTAAACTAGAGGAATGTGGACCCTCTAGGATAGGATAGTGAGGTGGATGAGGAACTGGTTGGAGGACCGCACTCGGAGAGTAGCTGTCAATGGCATTTCATCTGAGTGGAGGGAGGTGCCACAGGGCTTGGTTCTGGGCCCGGTACTTTCCAATATTTTTATAAATGATCTGGATGAGGGTGTGGAGGGGCTACTCGTTAAATCTGCAGACGACACCAAATTGGGAGGAGCAGCAAACACTCCAGAAGATATAGAATTCAATGAGATCTGAACACGCTGGAAAAGTGGGTGGATGTGAACAAGAAGCAATCTAACAAGGGTAAGTGCCGAGTCCTACATCTGAGTAACGAAAACAAGGAACACACATACTGGATGGGGGATACACTTCTGGGTAGCAGTGTGTGAATGAGATCTTGGGACTGTATGTTAAATATGAGCTGCCAGTGTGATGCAGCGACAAAAAAGGCTAATGCAGTTTTGGGGTGTATCAACAGAGGCATAACATCCAAATCAGATGTCATGGCCCCGCTGTACACTGCATTGATCTGGCTGCACCTGGAGTGTTGTGTGCAGTTCTGGAGGCCTCACTTCCAAAGGATGTGGACAGAATGGAGCGGGTGCAGAGGACAGTGACGAAGACGATCGGGGGCCTGGAGACCAAGCCCTGTGAGGAAAGGCTGAGGGACCTGGGAATGTTCAGTCTGGAGGAAAGAAGGTTGAGGGGGGACATGTTGGCTCTCTTGAAGTATTTGAAGGGCTGTCGCTCTTAGAGGAGGGCAGGGAGCTGTGCCTGTTGGCCACAGAGAAGGGGACTCGCAAGAACGGGTTTAAATTACAGGCAGAAGGGTACCGGGTAGATATTAAGGGTTTTTTTAACAGTAAGAGCTGTTCAACAGTGGAATGGGCTGCCTCGGGAGGTGGTGAGCTCCCCCTCCCTGGTAGTCTTCTAGCAGCAGCTGGACAAACGCTTGCCAGGGATGCTCTAGGCTGATCCTGCATTGAGCAGGGGGTTGGACTAGGTGGCCTGTGTGGCCCCTTCCAACTCTGTGATTCTATGGGGTGACGTGCTTTGGAAGGGGGTCGAGACCTGAAGCGATCAGTGGGTTTCTGGTGTGAGTAGACTTTTTAAAAAGTGGGTAGCCAAGCAGGTCTGTAGCAGAATCCGAAAACAAAATCCGCACCACACCTAGAAGACCAACCTGAATAGCACAGCACAATACCAGCTTTTGACTCTTTCAGTGCTCTTTGTACCTGATGAGGAGTTCTGGAGAACTCCAGGCTTATGCAGTCTTGTGATGCTGTTTTGGTTGGTCACAGAAGGAGATCGAATCAGTCAATCCTAACAGAAATCAACCCTGACTGTTCCCTGGAAGGCCAGAGACTGAAGCTGAAGCGCAAACACTTTGGCCACCCAATGAGAAGGGAGCACTCGCTGGAGAAGGCCCTGATGCTGGGAAAGACTGAAGGTCATAGAAGAAGGGGACGGCAAAGGATGAGACGGTTAGACAGTGTCATCGATGCAACGAACATGAAATTGAGCAAACTCCAGAGCACGACGGAAGACAGGAGGGCCTGACGTGACGTGGTCCATGGGGTTGCGAAGAGTCGGACTCGACTGTGCGACTGAACAACAACAACAAATAGAAGGGATAACTTGGATTTGAGTTCTGGTTTGTGGCATAAGGTGCTGGTTTACATGTCCATCCCGTATCCCGTAGTTGTGCGGTGGAGGCCAGAAAGCTGGCGTGGACCGATCCAGGCCAACATTGATGGTGGGGGTGGGAACTCCAGAAGGTCGAGTGGAATTCTCCTCAACCGCCTCTTTCCTGTGGGAGCGGCCGATGAAGAAACCGCCCGTCTCAGACAGACTCTTCCTGCCTGTGACGTACCTGCAGTACCTTGGCATACCGTGTAACCACACCGGGTACACTTTCTTCAGTTTTGCCGAGCCTTTTTCCGCAGCTTGCTGACTTCCACTGTTTTCAGCGTGGCTTGCAACATAATACGAAAGAAAAGAATCCCGACAAAAAAAGCAAGGGACTTTTTGTTTTTTACGACCCTTGTGTGGAACAGATCAGGATTATTTTTCTTAAGCCTTTTGCGAAAGAGGTTTAGAAAAAAACACCCAGATCCCGAAGACCAGCAAAAAAGGATTGTTTTCCCCTTGCCTTAGGGAAATGAAAAGGGCAGAGGGACACCCCAACCATTTCTTTGCACCCCACCTTTCTCCCCGATGGGGTCTCAAAGTGGCTTCCGTTGTTCTTGCCTCGTTTTATCTTCACAACAACCCTGTGACAATATGACTGGCTCAGGATCAGAAGAAGAAGGGATTGGATTTATACCCTGCCCTTCACTACCCAAAAGAGTCTAAGAGTGGCTTACAATCTCCTTTCCCTTCCGCTCCCCACAACAGACACCCTG